GTGGCTGTGAAAGAGAGAGAAAATTAATTGCTGTTGATTGAAAAAATGAAAGTTAATTTTTCTTTAAAAATTAAGTATATAAAGCACCAAATATAAGGTGAAATTATTATCATCATTACCACCATTGTTATTATCAGAGTCTTTAGAGTCTGGTATCCATATATTTGGGTTTTTTTTTTAAAGATTATAGGATCAGAGACTTAGAGATGAAAGGAACCTTGGACATCATCTAGTCAAATTCTCTCTTTTTACAGATAAGGATATTTTACAGATGAGGATATTGAGACATTAAACGACTTGCTTGAGTTAGCACAGGTAGTAAGTGGCAGATGCAGGATTTAAACTCAGGTCCAGCGTCCTCTTCATTGTACTAAGCAAAAATTTAATAGTTAACATAGTATCAAAATGAACCCCATATCCCCTTCAGGCTTTCCTATCCACATATGAAAAGCCAGGAACATATCTAGACAGATAGGAAAGAGAAAAAAATTGTTCCCAGAGATTGGGGGATTTTTTTGTTTGTTTGTTTGTTTTGGGTTTTGTTTTTTGGGGGGTTTTTTGTTGTTGTTTTTAGGCAATTGGGGTTAAGTGACTTGCCCAGAGTCACACAGCTAATAAGTGTCAAGTGTCTGGTCTGAGACAAGATTTGAACTCAGGTCCTCCTGACTTCAGGGCTGGTGCTCTATCCACTGCGCCACCTACCTGCCCCCCAGAGATTTGTTTTGTAGATATATCTTTCCCCTCTCTACTAAATTTCAGAGGAAAATGTAAGGGGTCTTCAGAATTGAGGAACTGAGAGACATTGGAATCCTACAGCTTTTAGCAGCTTAAACATTACATGGACTCAATTTCCTCATCTGTTGGCTAGACCATACTTGTTCCTTGTATCTTTTTTTAACATACATTGTCCTTAGTGGAGGAACAAATTGAGTCCTGAAAACTTAAAATGTTGATGAGTTTACCAGCTCCATTTTTCCTCCATGTAAAAAAGAAAAGAGAAACTGGGAAAGCATTAGAACACTGGTAACCAGATGGGCAGAAGGGATGGGGGCAGACAGGAGAGAAGAAACCATTAGAGAAAAAGCCAGGCTCATTAAATATGAACAACACCAACTTCAAATTTTTACCCAAAGCTGGCCTCCTCCAAAAAATTAAATCAATCACAATCATGGTGATTTACCAAGCATTAAAACATCCAGCAGACAATTAATCTATATCAGTTGGGAGAGGGGAATAAAGAGGGAGACATAAAGAAATATTCCATTTGTCCCAGTTAATAATAAGATGGAAGGAAGTAAAGGAAAAGCACAGTGAAACCTAAAGAAGGAATAAACAGAAGTGTAAAGGATAGCTGGGGGCTATTAAAGGCAGTGGAGCATTAACTTCAAACTGAAGGGGATTGATGGCCCTTCTTGGGGTAGGTCACAGTGTGCATTAAGAAGAGGTTGCACAAGCAAAGAGGAACATAGAAGAAGAGGATAACTGAGAGGCTCTCCTGAGACTAGTTCAGCATGAAAGGAAATCAAGAACAGGGATGAATACAAAGAAAAAAACCAACCTATTCAAAAAGGTACAAAAACCAGCTTTTGTTAAAGCTGTCCAGGAGAAGATGAAAAAGGAAATTAACTGGGACCAAAAGCAGCCTATTCAAGAGGAATGTTATCTTAATAACCAAAACCTAAACTATAATATCTTTGAGGTCAGGAACGATGTCACATCTCTTTGTCTCCCTCCTCCTGTCTATTTCCAACTTTGGGACCTAGCCCAGGGTCTTAGACATTCAAAAAACTTTGTGAAATTAACTCAAATCAGCAACCATTTACTGAGTTCCCATTATGCACAATAGACTCTAACAGGTGCTGATGATACGAAGCCAAAACATGAAATCTTCCCTGTCCTTAAGGACCTCACATCTTCTACTAGGAGGGGAGGGGGATAGAAGTTTATGCACAAGGAAATATGAAATAATATGAGGATATAGAGAACACTAATACCTAGGGGAAAATAGGGCTCTTTACAGAGGAAATTAGATTGATTTAATGAATTGGGTCTACCAACTCATCTACAGCTTCTTCAAGATCCATGTTTTATTTCATGTCTATGTATCCAAAAAAAAAGTTTTTATGAACAAAGAAAAGCAATTTTTCCTTCCTACCCTCCACAATAACAGAAGGCATGCTGAGACTCTAAAGGGGTTTAAATCAGTTTGGTACTACCTACTATTTTTATCGGTGATTCAGATAAATATATAGATGGCATTGTGGCATTGTTATCAAATCTGCAGATGGCACAAAACTGGGGAAAAACACAATCAGGATCAAGAAACATGATTCAGAGAAACATGAGAAGATGTATATGAACTGATGCAAAATGAAAAACAGGGGCAGAAGAACAATAGTAACAGGAAGAAAAACAACTTTGAAATATCTCAGAATTCTAATCAAAGCAACAAACAGTGACCTCAGAAGCCTAATAACAAAGTATAGCTCGCACCTCTTGACAGAGAGCAAATGGACTCAGGACACAGATATAGGTAATGTGGTGACTGTTGTCGCTGTACTATACATATTTGTTTCAAGATTGTGTATCTATTCAGGAAAGGCAGAAAAAGGAACAGAAATTATCTGCTTGGCCCTGGAAGTCAAAACTAGGAGTAAAGGTTAGAAATTTAAGTGTTAAGCTTAGACTGATTAAAGAAAAACTTTTATCAATCAGAGTTATCCAAAAGTAGAACTGGTTGACTTGAGAGATAGTGGGTTTCCCTTCACTGGAGTTCTTGAAGCAAAGGCTAGATGACTAATTTACCGCAGAATACAATAAATGGGATTCTTGTTCAAATACGAGTTGGACTAAAAGGCCTATACAGTACCTTCCTACACTGAGATTCTGTCTTTCTGTGTTTCTGAATAGAAATATATTCCAACAAATTAATTCTGCATAGCGAAGTTTAAGGTGACCCAATTAGCTACTTCCTAATATAAGCTGATAAAGAGAAGGACAATGAATATAAAAACAAAGCTGGCAAATTATTGTGAATGGAATCTGACTGGCCTGATAATGAATTTCCTGTTCTAAACTGTAACTGCGCATTGAGCTGGCTCTAAGGGACTTTAAAGTGTTCATTTTCCGGGACTTAAATGCTTGAAATGATTATAAATGTATGAAAGCATAGTCTTCCTCTTTCTTCATTTCCTCCTCTAATTTCCACAGAATGGATCCAAGCCAGAAGCCTCTATATGGAGAGGTTTAAGGAATATCAGATGCCCTCTCCCTAAACTAAAAGTATCTACTGCATTGACCTCCTGTAGTATTAGAAATATCCTCCATTCACATTACTCCTTAAAGGCCACCTTCCCAAGCTTTGTATGTTGACTCAATTGAGATATTTCCTGCTAACTCATGGCTGAGAGACTTTTTTCTAATCAACCCATTACCCACCATCTCATTGTGCAAAGCCATGAAGGAATGAGATACAAAAGCACAAAGTTTTGATGGGACAAGGGTTCAGAGTTCAGGAGGATTCCAGAGCCTGAGCCCTGTCTTTATGGTAGGATGTCAGAGTGGGAGGCCTGAGCAGCCAGGTACCAGGGTGAGGATACTAGATACTTTAGGAGACAGGATGAGAATGAACTCAAAGAGATAGTTGAAACACTGTGTAAAGAATAATGGCTTCAAGGGGCATCTAGATGGCACAGTGGATAGTGCTTCAGCCTTGGAGTCAGGAGGGCCTGAGTACAAATCCGGCCTCAGACACTTGACACTACTTACTAGCTGTGTGACCCTGGGCAAGTCACTTACCCCCAATTGCCTCACCAAAGGGGGAAAAAAAAGAATAATGGCTTTAGACTCAAAAATTCTAGGCTTAAGTCATTAATCTGTCATTCACTGTGTAAGCCAGGACCCCTGACCTCTCTCAATTTCATTATTTTTTAAAATAGGGACAGTAGTACCCTCAATGAGGTACATCATGGTGTGGTGGATAAAGAGATAACCTTGCAGCCAAGAAGATCTGAGTTTTCTTGCCTCAGACACCACCTACAGATTATGATATCCTAGGCAAGGAACTTTGCTGCTTAGTACCCCCAAGTAAGTCTCTAAGAACATAAGGTGAAGAGTAATGGAGTTTCTTTATAGGAGTACCCTATACAAATGATGCCAGAGGTCTGATTTTAAAAAATACCTTCACAAGATTTCTGTGAGGATTAAAGGAAATTATGCATACATGGCACTCACTTAAAGTATGGGTATTTGGATTTCACTTGTTCGTGCTATTACATTAGCAAATTACCTGAGATTCATGCTTGCTGTCAGGTGAATTACCTCAGAGTAAAATACCTAGACTAGTCAATAGATGGTACTGTACCAGAACGCTCTTCCTACATAGGGCTAGTCTACCTTTTCATAGCCACTAGAAAATGCTTAAAGCCTCAGAAAGTCTCACCGCCTAAGGCTGCTTTCCTTGTGCCCAAATTGTCATATTGACATGAAATAGGCTTCTCTTTGTTCAAGTCCTAATTTAGAAGCTGAAATATTAACATTTAAAAGTAGGGACTTCTAAAAGCATCTCTACTGCCTCCCCAGTATTCAGTACCTCACTTCACTTCCCACTGTAACCAAAGGTTTAGACATATCACATAAAGGTTAACTGCAGATTTAATGTACATAAAAGAAAAAGAAAATAGATATAACTCTTTTAATCCTGTTGCAACAGACATAACTATCTCTTTTATCCATTCCTTCTCTCTCTTCCCTCCAAGATCTTCCATGCAGATAGGGAAAACCTTCAAGTTCCCACATCAGGGGCTCAAAAACAGAAAGGAAAAGAGATTTTGGTCTCTATCCTAGGAACAACAAAATAACAACAACAAAAAAAAGTAAAGCTTCTTCCTGGCACCCTGGAACTGTAACCAGGATTCATAACAGTCTGTAGAGCTCCATGCACTCAAGTTTAAGTGATTGTATGTCTCATACTGTTTCCAGTTGCTCCAGCATCCTCCTACCTGTTAGATAATCTTCACTCATGGCTGCTTCTACCACTGCAACTTGTCTCTTGACTCCAAGAAGTTCCTAATACTAAACAGAGAAGAAAAGACCATTGTCTATTTCATTCTGCCCTTTGACAAAGGAATCAGCATGGTCACAAGGGGAAATCTCATTTCTGGTAACAAGATCTAGAAACCTACTCCCTGTAGAACTCTCTGTGCCTCCTTCCTGAGCCCAAGGTGAATTTACAGAGGTAAGGATTTGAGGCAAAATTCTTCTAGGGTACATACATAAAGGGCTTTATAACCTATAAAGGGTTTTATATATGTGAGGGACACAAAAAGGAAGAAAGGGGTACCAAAGATAAAGATACCCACTTCAAAAAACTGTCAAAAGGACAAGTTGTTCACGAGTACTATGCTATCTCATGAATCAAATTCCAGTAGCTATAGATATGAGCAGTCAGTCCAAAACCCTGATAACCCCTAAGCATGTTTGTAGCTGATGAACATGGAGAATGACAATTTCCGTTTCTAGAGCATGTTAAGTTTATGATGACCTCATCCATAACCACCCTCAAAAAAGGCTGGTAAAAGTATAATTATACCATTTGCAGATTCATTGAGATGAGACAACTCATGAGACAACTATGGCCTCAAAGATAGAAAGCAGCAGGGCTAGGACTACAACTTTGGTTTCTAAATTTCAAGTTTACTCTTCTTTCAATTATACCATGGTTAAGAATAACCATTCCAAGGATCATTCTAGATTGTCATTGTGTAATCACAAATAATGATGCAAGTGAATGAGGGAGTATTCTTTCCCCCTCTTTCCCTCCTTTTTCACCTGATAGCAAGCATTTATAGAGCTCTTTGAGGTTTGCAAAGCACTTTACAGATAGTATCTCCTTTGATCCTTCCAATAGCTCTGGGAAATAGGTACCATTATTGTCCCCATATTCCAGGTGAGCAAAGGTTATAACTTGCCTAGGATGATGTAAATTCATCTTGTAACCTTAGGCAAATCATTCAACAAAAATCCTCAGTTACCCCATCTTTAAAATAGACAATAGTACTTGAAACTCAGAGCATTTTTGCAAGAATGGCACTTTACAAATCTCAGAGGGCTTATATATAAAATTGAATATAAATGTTAACTATGGGTGAGATTTTGAGTTATTTGGGGGGGTTCACCCTCCTCTAAAAACCAATAGGAATAAAGATTTGTGAGCCAGATCTTGAACTTTAGACAACTGCAGCTATTCAATAACTGGACTGAACTGTCAGAGCATTTGAACTGATCTTTACATCATACACCAAGTGAGGCAGCCAGGACAAAGTAGCTGCTGGGTTGAGGGTGACCAAATAAAATAAATTAGGAAAACTATGAGGATCTCAAAGTAGACTCACTGAATACAAATAATGACCCTGAATACAGACAGGCATCTTGGCCCTACTGAAGTCTACAATCTCTTTTCCCTCTCATTTCAGCCCCACTTCCCCCTACCTCATCTTTTCTTCACAACCTCCTTTCTCTGGTTATGTGAGCTAACTAACTGGCAGCTGCTTAAACACCTGTGCTTTTCGTGGCAGTAATTTGCTAACTTGGCTCTCACTACCAAGTGGCCCTTCTCCTCAGACATTTCCGATGCAGATATCAGCAGCCAGAGGAAAAAGCGCACTTCTCTGGTAACTGGTGTATCCTAACTTGATTTCATCAGCTAAATCAAGTCAACAAGTACTGAGGACAACTATGCAATCAGCCCTATGCAAAATGTTGAGGGGTACAAGAGAAATCAATGGCATGATTCTTGCTATCTAGTGACTATTGCTTAGATGGGAGAGATAACAGACACATAATTATTAAAGGTGATGTTTCATCATAGTATAGTGGACAGAACACTACTGTAGGAAACAAAAGATCTGAGTTCAAGTTCTGACTCTGCCTCTTAATAGTTATATAACCTCTCTGAGCCTCAGATTTCTCAACCAGAAAATAAGAATAATCTTACCTATCCTTCTTAATTTACAAGGTTGTTAAGAGGATCAAATGAAATTATGCATATGGAAACATTTCATTAGGGAAATCGCTGTATAAATTACTGTTACTAAAAAATGTAAGCTCCTTGAACATAGGGAAAGTGTTTGCTATTTCTTTGTATCCCCAGCACTTAGTACAGTGCCTGGCATATAATAAGCTCTATATAAATATGTACTGATGAATATAAAACAAAGGAATATAAATTGGTATATTTCCACATAATCTTAAATTTTTCTTTTATCAACTCATACTGATTCTGAGTGTCTGTTAATGCATCTTTCCTAAGGCAAGGGGAGGGGTGCCTTATCCTTCAAACTGGCTTAACCTTAATTTTTTCCCCACCTGGTTATCACTCAGCAACCAGCAACTCTGTCTCAAATACAAACTGTCTATTCACCTTGCCTTTGCCATTCTAGCTTATCACAGGAAAGGTCCTAGCTTGTCACTTTCAACTTCCTTGCTCTTAGCATTTCTCCTACTTTTTCTGCTTGTGGTTAACTATGTATGTTTTGCCAATGAAAGTACAAAAAGTCTGCTTGACTATATTCATCCAGTCAAGAAGACATATGTAGCGGCCCCTTTGAATTCTCTTCACTCCCACATTGACTAGCAATAAAACTTTTTTACCTAGAGCTAGCAATAATTTAATTTGTATAAATTATTTGTTTCCTTCTCTGAGAGCCTGTTTTCCACTATCAACAGCTTGAGAAGGTAGCTTAGGGTAACCAGGGAGATTTTGTTTTAGAAACTAGGAGTCCAGGACAAAATAAAAAAAAAACTTAAATATTTTAACAGACATTTAAATTGGTTTTATTACACTATTCATCCTTCAATACTTATCTCAGCACTGTTAACTCCTATCAACACTGATGTCTCCTTTTTTTAGGCAGGTCAGAGTATTTGCTGTCACCATCATGCCTTTTTTCCTTGATTACTCTCAGATTATCACTTTGCTTATGGTTTCTGGGCTTTCTTCCATTTTATCTAATTACTTGAAGTATGGAAGCATTTTCTCCCTAATAAGATTGTAAACTTTCTGTACTATGCCCAGCATATCTCTAGCCAGACCTAACACAGTAGTCTGTTAGAATTGTAAAATTTCAGAGCTAGAAGGGAATTTATCAGGCAACTAAGCCAAGCAGGGAGAAGAGAAGGGGAGTCAGCACTCTGATATACCCAACAAGTGGTCATCCAGCTTTTATTTAAAGATCTCCAAGGAAAGGGAATGCACTACATCCCAGAGCAGCTCATTCCACTTTCAGATGGCTCTTATCATGTGGAAGTTTTTCCTGAAATCAAGTTGAAATTGACCAACCTCCTTTCAACATCTACCCCTTGCTCCTATTTCTTCCTCCTGGTGCTAAACAAAGTAAGAAGCATGAGAGCCTTCAAAATACATGAAGAGACCTATCCTTTCTCCCCAGAATCTTCTAATCTCTGGCCTAAACGTCCCCAGTTCCTTCAATTAATCTGTATATGTCATGGACTCAACACTCTTTGCCAGTGTCATTGCCCTGTACTGTGTGTTCACCAGCTTACTGGTGTCATTCCTCAAAACTCAATCCATGGTGGCAAAGAACTGGAAATTGAGGGGATTCCCATCAATTGCAGAATGGCTGAATAAGTTGTGGTATATGATTGTGATGAAATACTAATGTGCTGTAAGAAAATAGGAGCAGGTTGATTTTAGAAAAATATGGAAAGATTTGCACGAAATGTAAATCAAGCAGAACCAAGGGAACATTGTATACAGTAACAGCATAATTGTTCAAAGAATAACTGAATGACTAAGCAATTTTGAGTAATGTGATCATTCAAATCAACTACAAAGGACTCATGAAAGAGAATGCTAACCACCTCCAGAGAAAGAACCGATATATGAAAGTATGTATTGTATGATTCCACATTATGTATCTATACCAAATGTTGGTCTTCTCTAATGCAGGTTAGGAGAAATCTTGGAACTCAAAAAGTAACCAAAAAATAAAATTGTGGTACATGTAAAAACAAACAAAAAATTCCATACATTATGCTAGATGTTTTATGACTGGGGCAGGATATGGCAGCACTATCGCCTCATTGCTGGAAGCAATGCCTCTTTCAATGTTGCCAAAATTCATAGTAGCTTTTTTGGCTCCAATATCATCCTGGTGATTCATGTGAACTCACAGTTCACCCTAACTGCCAGATTTTTTCAGATGAAATGCTCTCTCTTACTTCTGCTTCTTCTACTTGTGAAGTCATTTTTAATACGTCTCTTTTCAAGTTCATCTCTTTTAGATTAAACCTAATTCTCAAAAAAAGGTCTTTTTGAATCCTATCTTCCAGCATGTTATACATTCTTCACAATTTCCATTATTATCAAATTTGGTACTCATTCCATTTATGCCATTATCTAACTCATTAGTAATAAACATTAAATAGTACAGGACCAAGCAAGCTTCCTGGGGCACTCCACTGGAAACTTTCTAGGCTGACACTGAACCGGGTGTCTAATTCAAGTCATTCAACCACGTCTAACTCTGATTGTATTGTCATTTTATTCTATACCTCTGCATCATTTTTCCCCCACAAGAATAGCGTGATACTTTATTAAACACAGTGCTAAAATTTAGTGGAACTATATCTCCAGCACTTCCCTGATTTATCCAATTAGTAATCTATGTTTTAAAAAAATAAAACAGAGTAAAGGAAATAAGGTTGAAAAGATAGGCTAGAATTAGATTGAAGAGGTCCTTAAATAGCAGTTTGAAGAGTTTGTATATTATCCTAGAGACAACAGAGTAGCAATGAAAGTTTCTGAGACAGAAATGACATGACCAGACCTGTCCTTTAGTCATCTGTATGGAGGATCTATACTCCAAGGGAGGGACCAGAATCAGGAGACCAATTACTAAGATATAATCATCATCTAGATGAAAAGTGATGAAGATATGAAATAAGGTAGTGGCCATGCGATAAAAGAAGATAGGACAGATGTGATAGTTATCAGGGAGGTAGAATTGACAACACTGGACAACTGATTGGATACAAAAGTTAGGAAAGAGGGAGAAGTCTATATTACTCCAATGCTATGAATCAAAATTACTGGGAGGATGGTGGAGGAGGGATATGTTTTAGTGGAGAAGATAATCAGTTCCATTTTGGATGTGCTTATTTCCAGATACCTACAGACGGTCCAAGTGTGGATGTTCAACAGGCAGTTGATGCTACAGGACTGGAATTCAAGAGAAATATTAGAATAACATAGCAATTTGAGATTTTTGTGCATGGCAAATGAATTAGACAATATCTGAGGGTGCTTCCAATGCTGATGTTCTTTGTTTCTGATCCTAATGCAAAGATTTCAGGCACTAGACCATAAAGAGTTCTTTAAAAGCAACATTTCTGCACTGTTCTGTCTCATATCTATTTCAGCTTCTTCCAAAATATCTTTCTTCAACAAACAAGAAAAATTAGTATTATAACTGGCATAAATACTAGGTTTTTTTAAATTTTCTTTTTTTCAGACACCTGACAGGCCAGTACAATTCAGGGAAGATTACTTCCCTAGCTTAGACAAGATTTGTCTCAGCAAAGTTTTTGTTTGTAATTCAAACAGTAACAGAATAAGAAAAAAAAAACCTTTAGAAATGCTTTGACATCTGTCCTCAACAAGACTGCACAGTGAATCCATGGGTAGATGATTTTTGAGAACTGGATACAATGTCCCAGTCTTGGAATTCATATGATAAAGTGTAGCATTAAGAAGATCAACTCATTTAATGAGCATCCAGAGGGACAGCCATGCTTCTGAGCATACCAAATTTGCTAACATTAAGTGCGATTCATTCTTACACTTCCTACCTCCACATACCCCCTTCACAGTAAAGGATTACAGTTGATTTATAATTCAAAAATTAGGGAAGCTGTAACATTAGCCTTTTGATGCTTATTATTGATACTAGTACATGATGGCATACTTCCAAGATGTCCCTATCAAGTGAATTTGACTCCTAGCATCACACACTGAATACCTTGTCCTAGGATCAAAGTGCTTCATGAGGACACATTACTAGGCAGGCCCTCCAAAACTGTAAAAACAGTGCAGGTTTATTTTCAATGCCCCCCCTTCTCCACTGGTCTTTGCCATCTCAAACTTTCCATTTGCCATCCAACTCTACTTCCCAGTGTCCCATATACTCCTACTGCATATGTCTCTCTTGTGAAAGACATTCTATTTGGAGTATAAAGGATCAATGGGTTACCATTTTCAGAGTTATTTGCATTTTATAAGACCACATTAAGAGGGCAATGCTTAAACCCAAGCAAATTAATTACTAATTGTGAAATTTGAGACATCAATGGGAGAGAAATGAGGAGGCAAGGACTTTCCAGGGGCTTCTTTTATCACACCAGGTGGTACGACTGATTAGTCCTCCTACTGGTAAGGCCAGACCCCTTTCTCCCAATAAACCAACTGCATATTTCCTGAGTGCCTACTAGGCACTGTCACTAGTTTCACAACATTTCCTCTTATGGGAAACAGCTTCCCACGCATATTTTATTTTGCCATCTGTCTCCTTCCTAATGAGGAGCCCTCTTCATCAATGGAAAGCAAATGTTTACTGAAAATGTCAAGACTACTTCCGAGAATAGCCATAGAGCTGCAGTGGAGCAATGGCTCCAAGCACTAACAGAAGCAACTCAACCTCAGACTCACTTTTTTCCATCTCTTTCCAAATATACATGTTATCTTAGCTCCCCTTGACAAGTGTGGTTATTCAAATAAAAAAGACAATTAGAAAAGAGAAAAAATAACATGCAAGAAGAAAGAAGAGACTATAAATTGTATATATCTGTAAACTTTCTCTCTTACCATGACTATATAAATATGACTGTGTCAACCTTAACATAGCAGTACTCATATTTCTTGTCCTTCTCATTCTTTTGGACCTACTTTATCATATAAATAACACGGATATGTTGACCTTCTATACTCCATATGCATTATTGTTACCTTCAATTGAACCAATCATATATATTGTTTTTTTGGTTCTGCTTTCTTAACTCTAAAGCAATTCCTACAAATCCTCCATATGTATTTCTGAATTTTTCTAATTCCTCAGTGCCCAATAATAATACACTATTACATTCATATACCATCATTTGCTCAGTCATTTCCCATTTCGTGGACATCTATATTATTTCCAGAATTTTTTTTTACAAATAATGCTGTTTTAAATATTTTTTGCACAGATAGGTCTTTTTTCCCCATTAATAACCTTCTTAAGGTATAGTCCTATCAGGGGGACCACAGGGTTAAAGGGTATACAAGATTTTGTAATGCTTATTATATAATTTCATATTGATGTCAGGAAAGATTGGCCCAATTAACAACTTCACAAGCAGAATATAGAAGACCTATCTTACCACAACCACACCAGCATTGAATTTTGTCTTTTTTTTTTTGACTATTTAATGGGAGTTAGGTAGAATCTTAAACCTGTTTGAATTTTTATTTCTGTTAGCTATTTTGAATATGTTTTAATGTGTTTATTGATTTTCTTTATGATGTAAAAGTCACTTAAGTGTATTGTGTCTCTGGTTATCCATGCAACAAAAAAAAAGTATAAGACTTTTGTGACTAAGATAATTACCTAAGAAATTCAAGTCAGTTATTCTCCTACCCTGCCCCATTGTCATTTTCCCAAATCTGGGTATTTCATAATTTCATACTTACAAACTCAAAATGTGGCTCCTTTTCTCTTAATTTTTCATGGATACAAACATGATCTAGTAGACTTGATCTCCAATATACACCTGCCAGGGGATAAGAGTATTTAACATATGATCAATCCACCAGTCAGTAAATAACCATTTGTTTATTAAACACTTACCAAGTGCTGAGCACCAAACTAAGTGCTGGAAATACAAGGAAAACAGTGGAAGAGTTCCTGCCTTCAGGGAGTTTACATTGTAATGGGGGGGGGGGACAGACAGAGACAGAGCCAGAGACAGAGACAGAGAGACAGAGAGAGAAAAAGACAGAGGGGGGAGAGGGGGAGGAGAAAGACAGAAAGAGAGACAGAGAGAGAAGAGAGAGAGAAGAGAGAAGAGGAGAGAGAGGAAGAGAGAGGAGAGAGAGAGAGAGAGAGAGAGAAGAGAGAGAGAAGAAGAGAAGAGAGAGAAGGGGGAGAGAGACAGAGACAGAGAAGGGAAGAGACAGAGAGACAGAGAGAGAAGAAGGGAGGAGAGAGAGAGAGACAGGACAGAGACAGACACAGAGAGAGAAGGGGGAAAGAAAGGGAGAGAGGGAGAGGGAGAGAGAGAGGAGGGAGAGAAACAGAGAGAGAGAGAGAGAGAGAGAGAGAGAGAGAGAGAGAGAGAGACAGAGGAGAGAGAGAGAGAGAGAGAGAGAGAGAGAGAGAGGAGGGAGAGAAAGAGAGAGAGAGAGAAGGGGGGAGAGAGACAGAGACAGAGAAGGGGAAGAGACAGAGAGACAGAGAGAGAAGAAGGGAGGGAGAGAGAGAGAGACAGGACAGAGACAGACACAGAGAGAGAAGGGGGAAAGAAAGGGAGAGAGGGAGAGGGAGAGGGAGAGGGAGAGGGAGAGAGAGAGGAGGGAGAGAAAGAGAGAGAGAGAGAGAGAGAGAGAGAGACAGAGAGACAGAGAGACAGAGAGACAGAGAGAGAGAGAGAGAGAGAGAGAGAGAGAGACAGAGAGAGACAGAGAGAGAGAGACAGAGAGAGAGAGAGAGAGAGAGAGAGAGAGAGAGAGAGAGAGAGAGATAAGATGTATGTATATACATTTGTATACAAAGTAAATACAACTTAGTTTTTGGAGGAAGTACCCTAATAGCTGGGGAAAGCAAGAAAGATTTCATGTAGAAAATGGTCCTTAAGCTGAATCATGAAGACAACCAGGTAATCCAAAAAGTGGAAACAAGGAGGGAGTGCTTTCTGAGCATAGAAAACAGTCACTTCAAAAGCACAGAAGTAGGAAAAGGAGCATATGCACTGGACAGCTAGTAAGCCAACTCCCCAGTAATAAAAGTATGTTTTTCTCTGTTTTTCTAACCACGTATACAGATCATTTTCAGGATTAAGATGAGAAAAAAAAAGGAACTTGAATGGCCTATGACCTTTTGCTCCAAACCTTGAATATGGTGTTACTAGGTATCTTTCACTTTGGCATTTAAGAGAAAAAGGAGAGATGGGAAATGAGGAATATAGAAATAGGGAGAGAAAAATGCAGAGCTGGGGGCAAAAGGATGGAGGATGATAGGATGAGTAGAGGGAAAAAATAAAGGGAAGAATGAGAGATAGAACAAAGGAGAAGAGGAAGAGAAGACATCAATGAAAGAAAAAGATGGAAGGGACAAAAAGGCAGTAAGGAAATATATGATGGGAAATGGAACAGAAAGAGAGAGATTACAGAGAGAGAGAGAGATCAGTCTCTCTTACTGTTCAGAGTGGAAAAGGAATAGCATGAATAACTAAAGTACTGTGGTTTTTTTTCCAAGAAAGGAACCTCAAGCATATCTCAAGGGATGAAATGTATCATAAGAGGAAAAGTACCAGACTAGGATTCAAACACCCTGAGTTCAAATTATGGCTATGATTCAAAGATCAGAGATTCAAATGCTATGATTCTGCATTCAAAGCCAATAGTTAGTAATCTCCATGACACTTTGTAAATCACATCATCTCTCATCCTCAGTTCCATAATCTGTAAAATGAGGTAGTTAACTAAATGACCTTTTCTAGCTCTAGCATCCAAGATTCTATGATAGTGGAAGTTCAAGATGTGATCCTAGACAATCATTTCATCTCTTTGATCTCCAATTTGTTAAGGCATGAAACAACTTCCCAGTCCATCTCACAGGATTGCCATGAAGATCAAAAGAGAATGTGTGAGAACATATTTTGAGAACTGTAAGCCATTATAAAAATTCATGGTGCTATTAAACATTGAACCCATTCCCTATGAAATAATCTATTTTTATCCACAGTCTTTTTAATATAAAAGATACTGCAGACAAGATACAAACTCCAACTATGCCTCCTCATAAGTCTTATCAAACAATATTCCACACATATACTTAGGTTTGGGGGTAAAAATTTTGTTTTCTTCCTCAATTGTTTAAAAAAATATATGCAATGGGAGGCAACTAGGTGGTGCAGTGGATAGAGCACTGGCCCTGGAGTCAGGAAGACCTGAATTCAAAATCCAGCCTCACTAGCTGTGTGACTAGCAAGTCACTTAACCCCATTGCCTAGCCCTGCCACAAAAAAAAATTTTATATATATATATATATATGTGTGTGTGTGTGTGTGTGTGTGTGTGTGTGTGTGTATGCAGTATGGGAGCCATCTACAAGTTAGCAATTCAAAGGCAACTTTCCAGGAATTTCATTGTTTCAAAGATTTAGAGGTAGAAAGGATCTTAAAAGGAATTTCATCTAACACTCTCATTTTAAGAATCAGGAAACTCATTTTAAGAATCATGAAAGAGTTGAAGTGACTTGCCCAAGGTCATGCAGATATTAAATGACAAAACTGGGGTTTGAATCAGATCTCTGATAGCATCACACTTTTCTGACCTATCATACTTTTCACTGTGCCAAACTGCATGCTTCACATGGGAACCAGCCTCATTTGTTTTGAGCTTCAAAGAGGAGGATCTCTCCTCATCACAGTAATGTCCCAACAATCTTAGGCCAAATCCAATATGTGATAGAAAAAAAAATCACTTGTGACATTTTATCATCGTTACAGAATAGTGACTCCATCGGCAATCATACAAAGGAGCTGTAGAAAATGGACTTCCATTCAGATGAGAAGTTATTAGCCACAGAAGAAGAGGAGCTGGGACAAGGAAAAGAAGATAGATGGCCAGGAGAGAGGTCTTTTTTATTTCAAATGATTTCCCTTAGTCACTGGTAAGGTCAGACACTGGAAATAACAATGCTCACACTTATGAGCCTAGACGGGGAAAATGTCAAATCAAGTTTTAGGAGTAGGTCACTCGGTAGCATCCAGCTCTGCTAAGGCCCCAAATTGACAATAGACTGTCAAAGACAATACTGAATGTGCCTACTATTGATATTCTTTTTGTAATGTTATTGAAGTGGAAGATAAGTATTGAAAGAAAAAGAGGTCCACATCAATTCAGTTTGTAGGTTGGATATTTTAGGAACATTTAGATTATCTTCCTAGAAATTATGATCATATGTGGAGAGAAACACAGAGCTTATACAAGATATGCACACACACGAAAGGGTATTATAGTAAAAATGATCTCTCCTTGTCAAGAATTTAGAAATTTGACTTTTTATTTTATTATTTAGAACTTTTTTCTTTTTTATTTTATTTCTTTTTATTTTAGAACTTAGATCAATTTCTTCTAATTTATTATTCCAAGGCTTCAGAAAATACCATAAAAACTGTTCTGTTGTTTACTCTTACTTTATAGGCTTAAATTTGTACAGTAAGAATTTTGAAGTCTATTTATTTCCTTTTGGATGTTTTGCCTGCCATTGGGGTAAGTGGCAACCATGTAGTATCTTGGTAATGATCCTGTGATTTAAACAGATAAGGGATCCTTAAGCATAATTAGTTAAATTTTAAAAAAAATAGTACCCCTTTTCACTCAATCTTTATTTGTCTACTAAGTAGAAACCTGTATTAAAATAGTTAATTACAAGAATTAAAATATGCCATATTGAAAAATACAATTGTAGAAAAAGACATAAAGAAATACAAATACTTAGATACAGTCAGGAACCCTTCTAGCTAATCCTGAACTGTTAACAAACATTATTTAATTGAACCTTAGTTAGGGGGCCAATTTGTTTTCTGATCTTAACCGAACCCACACAAGCTGCAAGACAACCATTTTATTCCCCTCTGATCTGTTTGCTAATCTCATCTTACCAGAAGCTATTCCAAAAATCATCTCTCCTCAAGCCATCCAAGGCAACCTGTGCTTCCATGTGCTCAGCTAAGGATCTCACCTCACTGAAAAAAAAAAAAAATTACACCATTCTGTAAGAGCTCCCTTCCCCCCTCCCTTTCCTCATTATTCCCCACTATTTCTCTTCTATCTCCAATTTATCCCTTCCTACTGGTCCCTTCTGTGTCACCTACAAACACATCTCCATTCCCCACCCCCATTCTTAAGATATCCTTATTTGATCTTGTTATCTCTGCTAGCTATTACCCAATATCTCTTCTCCCTTTGGGGGATAAACTTGAAAGAGCCACCTGTTCTTGCTACTTCCATTTCCTATCTCTCATTCTCTTCTAAACCCTCTGCAGTCTGACTCTTGACCTCAACATTCAACTGAAATTACCATGTACAAAGTTATCAAAGATCTCTTAATTGCCAAACCCAACTTTTTCCCAAACCTAATGCTTCTTAACCTCTGCAGCCTCTAGCACTATTAATGACCTCCTCTTAGATGCTCTTTCTAGGTTTTTGCGATGCTGTTCTCTCTTAGTTCTCTTCCTACCTATTACTTCTCAGTCTTGTTTGCTGCCTCTTCCTAAATCACATCACCTAATTACCTTAATCCCCCAAGATTTAATCCTCATACTTCTTGTCTTGTTGTTCTATACTGTCTTATTTGGTAAACTGATCATGGCTTCTGTTGTCATCTTTACACAGATGATTCCCCAATCTACACAACAAACTTTAGACGTTCTTGAACTACAGTTACAAATGTCTGACTAGAAAATAATTAGAATTGACAATTTGAATAAATTAAGTCCATTTAACAAGCATTAATTAAGGACCTACTAGGTTCAAAGAATACTAACACCAAACAAAAAGTCTCTGCCCTCAAAGAGTTTCCGTTCTCCTGGGGGAATGTAAAGAAATCTGGAAAGTCTTCTGAAATAATGCAGAATAAAAAAAGGAAACTTCTAGAATGGAGAACACACTCATTATGACCACATAAAAAGAAGGGCAAATAAAAATGAATAGACAAAGAATCCTCATGAAGACCTAGAGCAAGGGTTCTTTACCTGGGGTCTGTGAACACTATACATACATATATGTATGAATATACATATACATACATATATGTATATATGTGTACATACATACATATATATATATATATATATTCCATACAATTGGTTTCCTTTGTAATCCTATGTATTTTATTTTATGCATTTAAGGATATTATTCAGAGAAGGGGCCCATAGGCTTCACCAAACTGCCAAAGGGGTCAACGACATTAAAAAAGTTAAGAGCCTTCTCCCCCATTTTACATACGAGGACACTGAGGCCAGAAGGGAAGTGACTCACCCAAGGTTATATAGCTAATTGATAATAGAGCCTGGAACAAGACCCAGATCCAACAATCTTTTTCAAGCAACCACAACACGTTTTTTAGTTTGATGTTCTATTTCATACAGAGATCTAAATTGGAAAATCTAAATTTATCAAGGAAAGGATAGATGAGGATTTGCCTTGTCTATATTCTGTTCCAATTAGGGCCACTATTATCATCACTAAGTTCAATTCTCCTACCTTGGAGTAATTCAACACTCACTTCCTCAAGTCTGTCCCCATTCCAGTCCATCTTCCACTCAGTTGCCAAAACGATCTTCCTAAAGAACAGGTATGACCTCTGGCCATGTCAAACACATCCCCTAAAATAAACTCCAGTGGTTTCCTAAGATAATTTCATAGAGCGAAAAGTACTATGACAACTAAGAGGTATAATCAAAACTTCATTTATAAGAGTTCTTAACCTTTAGCAAGCTATTTATGCTTAAAATTCCACTAGGATTTTTGGGACACCCTCTTTATCTCTATCTCTATCTCTCCATCATCTGTCGATTACCATCCTCATCTATATATCTATAGCACCTAGTAAATTGGAGGTAATCTAAGAGGAAAAGCACCAGATCAAGGAGTGGTGGGGACTAGAAAGGTTTCTTATAGAAGATGAGATTTGAGCTGAACCTTGAAGGGAGCCAAAGAAGTCAGGATACAGAGGAGATTAAGAGGGAGAGCCTCTATGCTAGTGAAAAGGTGTAATGTTGGGAGATGGAGTGTCCCTTGCAAAGAACAGCTAGTGTTGCTGAATGGTAGAGTATGTAGAGGGGCATCAAGTGTAAGGAGACCAGAAATATAAAAAGGGGTCAGATTGTGAATGGGGCCAAACCTGTGCTTTAGAAAAATCACTGTGGTAGCTGAGTGGAGGATGGCCAGGAATGGGGACAGACAAGGAACGGAAAACAATTAGCAGATTATTCTAATAGTTTAGCTATCTCATGAGGTTTATGCATTGTTTTACCCAAAACATAGGAACTTCCCTAATGGCAAAGACTCTATTAAGCATTAATAGTGGAAAACTGCACTAAGACTTTTGGGACACTTTTTTGATTATATTATTACACAGTTGTTTTTATGTTGTTTTCCCTCTTTAAAATGTGAGCTTCTTAAGTGGAGGGACTATGGCTTTTCTCTTCTTTGTAACCCAGTACTTAGTACATACAGTGCCTGACACCTAGGACACATTTAATAAATGCTTGTTGATGTTAATTTTGTTCACAATCCCTTTTATCAGAATACTAAGCCTTCCATTCCAAAGTGAGAGAGATAAGCTTCACCTGCAAATACTCTGAGAGAAGGAACACAGGAGCTTAAATGTGCAGTATTTTATAAATAAAAGCATTCCGTAAGAAAAAGTTTCTGGGGGCAGCTAAGTGGTGCAGTGGATAGAGCATTGGCCCTGGAATCAGGAGGACCTGAGTTCAAATCTGGCTTCAGACACATAATACTTCCTAGCTGTGTGACTCTGGGCAAGTCAGATAACCTCAATTACCTCACTGAGAGAGAGAGAGAGAGAGAGAGAGAGAGAGAGAGAGAGAGAGAGAGAGAGAGAGAGAGAGAGGGAGGGAGGGAGGGAGGGAGGGAGGGAGGGAGGGAGGGAGGGAGGAAGTGAGTTTCTGGGAGTTTTAGTGAACTCCAGGTCTAATATGAGTCAGGAATATGGTGTGACTTTTCTCAACTCACACAATTATCCAACCTAGCTATGCTGCATTAAGTGAAGTGGAGAGATGTGACCAACCTCACACTCCCAGGCTTACCAAGCTGCTGAGCATTCCAGCATCTGAATGACTCAGATATGCACTTGGCTGCCTCCACACTGAATGCCCACTTGTTCTGTCCCTGCATTGACTGGCCTTACCAGCTTTATTACCCTTTGTTTCTCCACTGACGTGTCTCCACAGAGGTTGCTTTCAATTACTAACCAAAGTCTGCCATACTCCTTCTAACCTTGTTTGCTGTTTAGTTGAACTAGCAAGTTTTGCTTTCCATCTTTGTCCTTTGTTTTAAAACTTCTGATCTCTTCCATGAAACCCTTGCTTTCCCTGCCGGTTCTGCTCCTGCTCTGAGATGTTCAGATAGGACACAATGAGTGAATGGCAAAGCCAGGATGAGATTCCCATTCTTCTAAATCCCAGTCAAGTAGTCTTTCAAAGGCAGCAAACTTCAGTCACATTCTGATTTGCAACAACCAGGAGACAGAGGAACCATGTATACATGCCCATTTCCTAGTCTTGGATTCTGATATGGCTTGATTATATTTAGAAAAACAGAGTGGTGTTGTGGAAGAGAAATGGGATTTGAATCAATCAACAAGCATTTACTATGTGTTGGGAATTGTTCTAGGCACTTGAAAAACAAAATAGTCCCTACCTTCAAGGAGCTTACAATCTAGCAGAGGAGGCAACAGTCACATATGTAGGTATATCTAAAACAGACACAAGGCAACCTGGGGGTAAGAGTCAGGGAAACACTAGCAACTGAAGGGACCAGGAACAACACCCTCACACAGAAAATGGTGCTTCAGTTAAGTTGAAGGAAACCAGGAATTTCGAAAGGCTGTGGTGAGGAAGAAATGAATTCTAGTCACAGGGTCTATCCGTGCAAATACTTGGAAATGGGAAATACATGAAGAACAGCAGAATATTCAGTTTGGCTAGGCCACAAAATGAGTAAAGAGAAATAATGTATAAAAAAAAAAGTAGGAAAGGTAGGTTGGGGTCAAGGGGTGAAGGGCTTTACATTCTAAATAGGAGTTGTATTTTACCTTAGAAACGATAGGGAGCCGCACCAGTTTTGGGGTAGGGAGGTGACATAATCAGACTTTGGTGGCTGTATGGTCCTATGACCTTCACGTAAATCCTACCTTCAACATTTACTAGTTGGGTGATGTTTGATGGGTCACTTAAACTTTCTAGGCCTCAATTCCGCCATCCGTATAAGGGAGGTAATAATGCTTCTTCAGTATGGTGGGGAAAGTGCTTTATAAACCTTAAAGCACTAAATCAATGTGAGGTATTATGATAATTCTTTATCAGACAGTTAACCTGAGAGGAAGTTTTTTCTTCTATAAAATTGGTGTTAAAGCAATAGCACCTGGCTCACAGGACTGTTGTAAGGATCAAAATATATGTAAAATGTTTGACAAACTTCAAAGTGATATCTAAATATGAGCTATTCGTTTGGTATTATTATTACTACTGAATCCAAAGTGGTAGGGTGCATTGAAGAGTTCTATATCCACAATGCATCTGCCAGTGCCTGCTCTAATACTGGTTATGTGGGCCTACTCTAGACCAAGGAAATAGCACTGCTAACCAAACCCAGAGGCCTTCCCAAAGACCAGGCATCATTTATCATCATCTGGGACACAAAACCACATCTGTACCACAGTCGAAGAAACCCCAAATGACCCAGCAGCTTAATAAATCACCTACCCATCACAGCCAGCACTCACTTCTCTAAGCTTTTAAAGAGTTTGATTCCAGGAAATGTCACTTACGTGCACAGAGCACCAACAGTGGGAAAATGGTAGATGATCAATCAAATCACACCAGGCGAGAGCTGGGCATGAGCTAAAGGGCACACTGGTTTTTAAGCTAAAGTATCAGCACTCAGGACACTGAGAAGTTTCTGATTGGGTTAATCCAAGCCCTGAGTCCTGAAATCAGTCCTAATTAGTCTCAGCTATGGTGATGATTCAGCCACTATAGCTTGTCACAAATGCTGCCTGAGCGTTCTAACTGGGGAAGAGCTCTAAGAATGTGGGCTCTGGACTCAGAAGAAATACCTACGCTATTTAGTACCTAGTGACACCAGGCAAGTCACTTCACTTCCAGGGGGCCTCAGTTTCCTCATCTATAAAACAAGTGTTAGACTGGATGCTCTCTGAGGTCCCTTTCAGTTCTAGAGCTATCTACTCCAAGTGTTTTAGCCCTCATTGGAATCTTGTGCAAACATGCCTGGCCAAATTTCTTTTTAAGGGTGAGTTTGATTTCTGCTTGACAAGAAAAATGGGCTTCAAAAAACAGGCTCAAGACGCCATTATTAGGGATAATATGAGGAGAGAGAAGGAATAGGTATAATCACTGTTCTCCTAATTCACACTAAGATATCAGTAGCTCTCTGGAAATAAGATTCACAAAATTTTAGAGTTGGAGGGAACATAGAGATAATAATAATAGATGTTGTTATTATAACTGACATTTATATAATGCTTTAAAGCTTTCCAAGTTCTACATACATTATCTTAAATATATCTACAAGGCAACTAGGTAGTGCAACAAATGCAGCCCGGGCCCTGGAGTCAAGAGGAGCTGAGTTCAAATCTGATCTCAGACACTTGATACTTACTAGCTGTGTGACCCTGGTCAAGTCATTTAACCCCACTGCCTACCCCCCCCAAAAAAAATTAAATGTATCTACATACATTATAACTACATACATTATAAATGTATCTACATACATTATCTCATTTAAGCCTTACAACAACCCTGTAAGCTAAGTGTTACAGGTA